AACATCATTAATTAACGGCCTTATGATCACACTGAAAGTTTTCTCATGAATATCTAATTAACACTTGATGAACTGGGTTTTGCTTATATGAGCATGTGCAGGTGTTTTGGATGGCACATGGAACTCACATGGACAAAGATATATTTGACAAGCCTACAGAGTTTGATCCATCACGTTTTGAGAACCCATCAAAACCAATCCCTCCCTACACTTATCTTCCATTTGGAGGAGGCCTTCACACTTGCATTGGGAATGAGTTTGCCAAGATAGAATTACTCATCACCATCCACAACTTGGTGACAAGGTTTGAATGGTCACAAGTTCACCCTGAGGAAGCAATAACCCGTAAACCAATGCCATATCCCTCCATGGGTCTTCCAATCAAGATCAAACCAAGAAAGCTTTAATTAGTACGAGGCTTGTTATGCCACATGCTTTGGTTGTTCATATTGTTCGTTTTGTGCTTGAATTTCTTGTCCTTCAAATGAAAATCATGGATGGAAACTTTTAATATGCATTATAAATTAAGCTTCTCAGCGAGTATGATATGATTTATTTTGTTGTGATGTTGTAATAAAGTTTGCTATATCTTGTTCGTATCAATTCGTAAATAGGATTTTATAATACATGAACGATGTACAGAATAATAAGGATGTAAAACTCGAATGTATATTAAGAGTATGTTATGAAAATAATATGTCTTCTACAGTCAAAAGATCTTTATAAGTCAATTTAGGTTTTATCTGCAAAGAATTTTTCATTTTCTCTTCATTTTGTCATTTTGCATTGGCGAGTAGATGCCATGAGAAAAGATATTTTGTAAGAGCATATCATATGGCCTCACATTATTAAGTTTTGATTTCTCTAGGTGAAGTTCTATCTCTTAATCGTTGAATCAGACTAACTAATTTGATTTAACGGCTAACCAATTTATCCAACGATTGGCCATATATATAAAGCCCTCGCTATAGATTGACTCCAACCAAATCAGGCATTAGTTGGGTCTACAAATTTTCCCAGCCTGCTGGGTCTAGGGCTTTTCCTCAATACCATCATCATCCATGAAATATATATCATTTCTATAAGTTGTTATACAAAACTAATTAAGATCCACAATAAATAAATTAATTAAGCAAAATCCAAGATAAAACATCGGAAAAATTGTTTGGGAGATAAGTTGAGTAACGTAAGAAACCCAAAGAGAGAGAGACTCTAAAAAGGGAGGTGATGACGGTGAGTTGGTGAATAAGGAGAATAGGATGAACTATTCATGACAAAAGAATTTGGGCTGCTGCTAGTATTATGCGCTCTGTTTGGGGTCCGTGGAGTCACCGGGGTCATGGGACTTTGTGATCTCGGTGAAATCATCGTGCTCCGGCCGTATGCCCCGTTGTTGCCGCCGCTCCTTCTTGGCCCTTTCTCTGCCCATTTCAGCTCAGCTTGCTTCACAATGAGGGGATACCTTGAAAAACATCCAACCTTTCCTGCTCTTTGTATGTACCTATGGGACAATAACATACACAAAATTAATATTATTTTTATAAAATAAACAATGAAATGAAAGATTGGGGTGTCCAAAACCAAAACATCTTCGTTGTTTGTTGTGTTGTGGAGGTTGTTCTTGTATTTGGCCGCTATACCAACCAAGGGACGGCAAAACAAATGCTATTTTTTTTCATTTATGTTACAATCTTTGGTCCTCCCCCATTAGATAACTTACGTGTAGGGTGACCCTAATTGCCGGCCTTTATTTATTTATTATATCATCATTTCCTTGTTCCCTTTTTTTATTTATTTTTGGCTGGGTAACAGAGTAATTGTTAGTCATCAATATAAAATTTATCGGTGTTCTTGAGTAACAGAGTAATATTCACCACACTAAATGACTAGATTAGCCGACAAATAATCCGTTTATTGACAACTAACCATAATAATTTACGTAATTAGCATAATCAGAAAATATAATCATTCAACGTTTAGTCATATGATGGGTATATTATTGTTGGCTTGAGTCAAAAAGTCTAACAATTGTATGATAGAGTTAAATTAATCAGCATACCTTTGACTGAATCGCCTCCCTAAACATTCAACGCATTTTCTACCTTCTGTCATTTCTCCCATCCCTACCATCACACATTGTCTACAATACACTCTTCCACAAACCTGCACACAAAATTAATTACTATCATCTCTCATCCATCTTTTCCACGCATAATAATATTAAATGAAAAATATCAAAATTATCTATTTAGTAATCCCTACCAATTTACAATATTTTATGCATAAATATTGTTCGGATGATATTTGGTATTTGATCACATATTAACAATGTATCAGATATTGTAGATTTGTTCAAATAATACGTACCAAGCAACGGTGGCGGAAAACATAGATGTAGGTGCTGCAAAGAGTGCAGATATTCGAGTGGGGAATTCCAGGCCTCCTTCGTCCTCCTCTGTCTTGCTGCTGGTTATACACGCCGGAAGCCATGCTTATACCACTCACATCATGATCATAAGCCCCCATGCTAGTCTCCAACCCATGCCTCAATCCGCCGCCAGCATGACATGCCGGGCCAGCTGGACTATTCATATTCATATGATGATTATTCATTGCATGGCCATCATGACCATGACCTTGATCATGGCTATGGCCATGACTCCCTCGCGATGCATGGCCATGGTGCATGCCAAGATCATGTCCGAGGTCATGATGACCGTTCATCTGGTGATGATCAAGATGATGATTGACATGACCTCTATGTGGACCTGCGTGGTCAGCATGGTGGTGGCTGTGGTTAATGTTGGATGCCTGCAGGGCTCTGTTGAAGTCAAGGCTTGGGAGTTTGGTCAAAGGAGAGGGGGAGGAGGGTTGTGTGGTATATTTGAGCTCAGACATGGATTCCAATAATATTGGGTTTGGTTTTTTCTTTTCGGATGATGCGATTCGGTTTAGTTTGAGCTCTGCAAAGTCTTGGAAAGTGAGGTTGACTGACTCATCTGGTATCCCTTGATACATGTCTTCAAGCTCCATTCTTGCCTTTGCCAATGTTGCCTTGTCCCCCATCGCTAGCTACGTACAACTTTTGAGAAAGATGTTGAAAGAGGGGCAGAAATTAGATGTGTTTTAAGAGGGAATTAATGTTGAAATTAAGGAGGAAGAAAGAGGGTTTATTAATAGGTTGTATTGAGAACAAAAGACGGTAATAAAAAGACAAGTTAAAGGGCCGGTCGTAGACATTGAACATCATTCTTTTCTCCCATATTGAAACAAGGCAGGTCTTAAGGATTGTGATATATTCATTAAACAAATGCATTTGCTTATGTACCCCTCAACTCTATCTATCTGACAGATATGTAATTGAGCTAATCAATAAGCCTTGAAAGATGGATGAGAAAAGCCAATTGGCTTTTCTAGCGTACGAGAAATTTTTCGACGGTCATATAGTCATGTAGTATTATCAATTCACCCATATTATAATACGTGTATTTACTGTGCACAATCGCACTAAAAATCTTTTTGTAGTCCACGAATTGAAATTTATAAAACAACCAAGTAGAGGGGACAAAGTGATTACTTCTTGACTAGCTAATTGGGTACATCACAATATACAATCATACATTGACCCTTGTCGTGTGGTGGTATATATTAATTATAAACAGGAATTAAGTTTGATACTTAATGATCTGGCTTCTTTCCTAATTCATCTTTAAAACCTCAATTTAAGAAGTACAACCTATAAGCTTGCTAATATTGGTGAAAAATTGGAAAAGAATGCCATGTAGATTAACGTGGATATGATCAACCCGGCCAAGGATAAAACAAACCTTCGGCCGGACAAATTCTTTTATATACTGCCAGACTGCCAGTAATAAAATTGTCTGCTGGTATCAAAACATGGGTCTAGACTCTTGACTCTTCCTTGCTGATTAGGACCTATAATTGGATGTTATCATAAACCCCGTCACATTAAGGTTTATGGATGAAACAAGGATGGCCGATTATTAACTGGATATCTTGGTTTTGTTAGGGTTCGAGGATGGAGCATATCTTGGTTTTGTTAGGGTTCGAGGATGGAGCAGCATAAACAAGATGCCATATTTTATTTTTGGCTTATTTACTGTTTCACTCCCTGAAACAGACGCTCAGTCTCACTTTACCTCCTTAAACTGAAATTTTCTCATTTAACCTCCTGAATCTCTAAAAATTGTTGAAATTTTCTCACTTTACCACTTCCGTCCATTTTCATCCACAAAACTGTTAAGTGTGCTGACATGACATGGGCTTTCTAGTAATTTTAGCTCCTTATCTTCTCCCTTTGTTCTCTCTTCTCTCCCTTCTCGGACCCAACCTCCATCACACCGCACTCCCACCCCGTCCCCCTCCTCTCTCTTCTCTCTTCTCTCTTCTCTCCCCTCCCCTCGCCAGACCCAACCCCCACCCCAAACCTAAGCCTCCATGGAATTACTCAACACACCAAACCACCACCACTCATAAAAAATATATATATATTTAAAAGCTCCTCAACAGCCACTCCCCATCTTCTTTCTTGGCAAAGATATTGAGAGTGAGAGTGAGAGTGAGAGAGAGACATATAGAAGAAAGAAGAGGAGGGAGGGGGTGGGGTGCAATGGAGGTGAGAGAAAAGAGAGGTAGAGGGAGGGGAGGGGAGAGAAGAGAGAGGCAAAGAGGTGAAAGAGACAAAGATAAAAGAGGAGAGAGAAGAGGGAGGAGGGGGTGGGGTGCGATGGAGGTTGGGTTCGGGATGGGAGGGAATAGAGGGCAGAGTGAAAAAGAAGAGGGAAGATAAGGAGCTAAAATTACTAGTATGCCCATGCCATGTCAACACACTCAACAGTTTTGTGAATAGAAATGGACGGAAGTGGTAAAGTGAGAAAATTTCAGCAATTTTTAGAGATTCGAGCAGACGGTAGTTTATAAACACCATGGATTCGTTTGTTTTGACTTAGAGGTAAAGGCAATTGTCCAAAACAAACATGACAGACGAACCAATGCATTCATTGACTCTATAGAACTGGTAGAGATGTATAACACTGCCCATTAAAGGTAAAAACAAAATAAAGTTATACTTTGACAACCAAAAAAGAAAAAAAAAAAAAAAGAACCAGGGCAACAGCCGGATTGTTTCAGTCTGCATCACCTCTACCCTCGCAGTCCCATGCCGCAACAGCTGAAAGGCGTCTTTCACTCTCATCAGTAGCTTGTGTAAGTAAAGAGGAACCAATACCAGCCTTTGGCTCACACATCATGTTTGTGAGGCAACTTTCCTTCATGAAGTTGTTTAATGGTTGGGAGGCAGCGTCAGCAAGCCTCAACAAGGTCAATCCTGAAGCCTGCACATACGGGTTGGGTTCACAATTCAGATCAATTTGTCCAGCGCTGGAACTTTCAGCCACATCAGCTTCAATTCTGCTCTGGCAGCCTCCATTCTCCGATGAGTGATTCATATGCAACCCAACCTCTGTTGATGGGCCATTTATTTCTGACTCATCTTTGTGGTTGTTATTATCCTTCTGAGCATTCTCTGCTTCACGTTCTGATTGGCGTTTCTTCTTGCGCATCATGAGGGTTTTGAAGCGCCGTCTAACTGTCAAGCACACATTGCATGTGCATGTTGGCTTGTGCTTGCCCTTCCCACTTGGAGGTTGAATGCATACTATGCAAGTGCAGCCTGGGCGGTGACGTGGATGTCTGGTGGTGGCTCCAACTGATTGCTCACCTGAGTCAACCACATTATCTCCCAGAATGGCAGCACTAGCCAGGGCATCCAAGCCCGAAGGTTCATGTTCTTGGGCTTCCGTACAGTTCTCTATGATTCTTCGCTTCTTTAAATCTGGGAAAATTTTAAACACAGCCAAAAAATCAGAGTAATAAATTCATTGATGTTACAGACAATATGTTTTTTTTAACAACTCAGTGAACAGAGGCACCAAACAATCCAGTTAGTTATTGAGGTTTCTATCGCAGGCAACAAACTTCTTCTGTTCTGAGAAATTTCATCCCCTGAGCAGATAACAACGCAAGCAACCCAAAAATATGCACAACACTGTGAGCATGTAAAAACATGAGATGTCCATTTAACAATTCTTATAGCAACGAACTCTAGCCTTTTACAAATTCAAGTAAAAGCTAGATCTGTATCAATGCTTGCTCTGATGTTTTTGGACACAACACATGCATATGTTCGATAAATGTATTATAAATATAATAAGAAAAAGATTTCAAAATAATAAAATGCTACTTTGTTATTCAAGGAACACCTCTTTAACATAGAGCTGTAGAAAAAAAGACGAAGGTTTGAATTATACCCTTGCTTGCTCTTAGAAGACTATCCAAATCCTTCTGGCTCATCTCCTCTGGTGCAGAACATGAGCGCCTGTCAGGATACAAAAGAAACACAATCAATCTTACATCTCATGTACATAAGATAAAAGAAAAAAGTTGCACCTGCTTGTATCCCAAGAATTTTCTGAACACGTCCACTTTGGAGGGAGAAGAACATCAGCAGGCAACCTCCGCCACTTGGAGCAATCATCACATTGAGCCCATTGTTCCTGTCTCCTGAAATATAGTGCCAGATATTCAACAACAGAGGTGTTTTTCACATTGCATGCAAAACAATTAGTCCTCAATGTACAGTATACTGCCTACACTATAGGCATGTGTTTATGTGCCAACAGGTTCGATGGCTACATTACAAGGTTTAATAATGGATTCAAGAGGTTCGAATATGCTCTTTCAGGTGGCTGGGCAGAAATACAGTCGTCTTTCTCAATATGATAAAGTAACAGAACATAGTATATCTCACAAATACTTACTCAGATGATGACGCAGTGAATAGAGATCTCTTCCCAAAAACTGGGGGCTCCTAGAAGAAATAAACAACATTGATCAAATAACTAACCAAAGAACCTGATGGAATTTGAACTTTAAAAAGATTGAATCTGTCAAAGCATCATTAGCATATTTGATTTCATATAACAAGAGGGGCACTCACTATGACATACTTACATCATACTCCTCAAATTCATGATCTTCAATAGTGACAATGCTTGGTTTGACACTCGGGGGTGGACGAAGCAAGTCCTGTGCTTCTTCCCATGTCAGCCTCAGCTCCAGAACATCTTCACTATGCATGAGCAACCTCTTGCTTTTAGGCCCAATATTTCGGGCCCTCTTCTTGTCAGAATTCAACACTGGCTGCTGCAGCAAATCCTCACTTGTTCTGTGACCATGATAATCATTTTTATGCAGGCTCATATCCCCATCAGTCAAATGCAAATGTTCCGATAGAGCATGTAGGTGAGGATCCTTGCTTCCTGTATTTGTTTGGAAAAGGCCAAGGTGACCACTTCCTGTTGCCGGATTCTCAACAACATTAGGACAGGAAGTTTCCCCAGGAGTGCTGCCATTGGGAAGCATAGATTTTTGGGGGTCCTAAGTATTTAACATTTGTATATAAGTGTCAGGTTCCATCAGAACAAAAAAATAAAAACAAAAATGCAGTAAGTAAGATGATGCAGAATTTGATGGAATATGCAACTATGAAACTTGACCTGCATATCTAGCGATTTGGATGCCTTCCGAAATCCCATTACAAGTCTGCCTCCAGGATCTATCCGACTGAATGTCACTGCAATAAATGAAATCAGATCAAAATTCAGATTTCTGCTGGGAGTTTTTTTTTTCTTCTTTTCTTTTTCTTTGTGGGGAATGAGAAAGCTGAGAGATTATCTGGAACAGTGAAAAATGTGTGGACTTTTTTATCTCTACCCAGAATATAGAAGCATACCAGTATCACCCGCTTGCAGTTGCATAGACTGTATGCAAGGTGTTACACCTTCTAAAACATACATCCTGCTATTATTATTTGGCCAAAATCTGAACTGAAACATCCATTCATTCCCCTTCACATCTTGAATCCTTATAGGAAGGCCTTCTGATTGAGAAATAGGAGGAAAATATGCCTGCATTCAACTCCAGTTCATACAGATGTGCCAAGGGGAAAAGGATACATAAAAGACAGATAAGGAGAAAAGGAAAGGAATGAAAAACAATTTTCCCCACCCATCCTTCCCAAAATTGTAAATAACATAATATCGTTAACTTATTAATTTTTACCTCAGCACATGCTTTTGGGAGAACCAGACGACCAATTCGACCTGCATCACTGGCACTCAGCACCTTCTCAAACAGTGGCACAATAGCAGAATTCAAACTTAAAAACATAATTAAGGCAAACACTGCATTCAAATTGACATATAATCAAAAGCTTTAACCATACATTTACCAATTAAGAAGTGTTTAAAAAATATATGAATTTCAAACAGAAATTCTGAATTAATCAAGGATACTCTCCAGATAATTTCTGCAGCTCTTGGTCAGTAATCCTCGGCCAGTATCGGGGAAGTAATTGATTCTTCCCCCGCCCTTCAGCAGGTGGCCTTGCAACGCGCACATTAGGAAATCCACCTTTATTTGTCTCTGAACTCATAGTGACAGAAGGTTTCAAGGGCTTGGGCAAAATAGGCCGAGATTTTTGCCCCTGTTGGAAGGAAGAAGGTGTCTTGCTCTGTTCTCTTCCATCCACAAGCCCTTGTTGGAAGGAAGAAGGTGTCTTGCTCTGTTCTCTCCCATCCACAAGCCCTTGTTGGAAGGACGAAGGTGTCTTGCTCTGTTCTCTTCCATCCACAAGCCCCTGCTGGAAGGAAGGTGTCATGCTCTGTTCTCTTCCATGCCCCTGTTGAAAGGAAGAAGGTGTCTTGCTCTGTTCTCTTCCATCCACAAGCCCCCCAGGAAAGGGTTGTACAAAACTTGGAGTTGCAGATGGGGATCCCAGAGTCATACTCAAAGACGGCTGAGAGGATGATTTATTTATATCTTCTATCATTGTTCTACCATTGTCTGATTTGGAAAATGTCAATGATCCAATAGATGGCTGAGTAGTACTTGGAAATCCCAAGCCAACTTCCCCATTATGATTTATCACTTCTTCTTGTTTCTTTTGCACAAGGGATACATTTATGTCACCTCTCTGAGGTTGAGGCAAAAGGTTGGATTCATTTGCCTCCATGATCTTGCACAATTGCAAAAGTTTTCCTTCGTCAACAGTATTACTAAATGCTCCATTCTGAACAACAGTAGATTGCCGATCACTGTAGTTACTTATTTTCAATCCACCAAATCCATTCAGAACATCATCATTCTGGATCTGCAAATAAGAAAATAAGAATCCATGAAAATCCTATAGGTCATCTGTGCGTGTGCATGAGCAAGATATATATATATATATATATATACACTGTGACTAATAAAGACCAATTTCTTACATATTCGTTAATTAGCAATAGAGTATCTAAAATTACTAATGGGAGACGATGAGCATTGCACAATATTTTGGATTGCCATCTTTTTGCATAGGTTTGCCGTTGAGCAGATGAAAACAGAAGAATCAATGCTATGAATCAATTGAGAGTACAAACTATGATATATATAACTAGTTTATTTGTTTTCTTTAACTTCATAGATGCATAAATTTATGTTCTTATGACTTAAGTTAACTATCAACAATGGAACCGAAAGAGAGAGTTTAATGCAAATGCATCATTCACTGGAGATCTAGATAGTGACTTTAAAATGGGAATATAATAACCAAAATCCTGAATTTGTTCATACCACACGAGGTTGAGAACTCTTTGCACAGCTAATACACCCTACACCCCCATAGTCCAGGCACTCATACAATGACTTCGAGACTATGCATCCACAGTGGAGAGGCTGCACAAAATTGAACAAATTTTAAAATTAGGTCAGATAGAGAGAGGGAGGGAGAGATTGAATAGTTGTTTTTTCTAAGATGACCAAACTGCAAGCTAACCTTGCGGCACAAACTGCAGTCCCTCCAACCAGTTTCCCCCGCATGGAATTTATCACAGTAAACTAATTTCTCATATGCAGCTCTAGAGTACACGCAGTGCCATGGTCCAGCATAAAATATATTAGAAACCATCAGGGAAATAGATAAGATGTATAGTGTGTGTGTGTGTGTGTGTGTGTGTGTAAAATATATTAGAAACCATCAGGGAAATAGATAAGATGTATAGTGTGTGTGTGTGTGTGTGTGTGTGTGTGTGTGTGAACAAATGAACACCACCATTAGAGATGACATGTTTACAACATAAAGTAGAAGTGCAGCATTCCTTAGACTAGGGATCACAAATGAAACTCATTATCCAAAGCATGAAACACAAGGCAGAGTAGGTACACATTTCTACTAGCATGGGTACACATACAGAAGTTGAATTATTATGCATACATATAAAAATTCAACATACAACAAAACATAAAAGTATACATATAGACAATGAGATTCTAAATTGCTCAGTTATTAGTATGGGAGAAAACAAACAGATCAAATAAGTCTAATTATTTCCCCCATATTAACATCTGATATCAAGTGACTTCTGATAGATTAATATACAGCTCAAAGAGATTGCAGTCAATCGTTCCCATCAAACTTTGAAACCACAAAAAATAGATAGAAGCTAATTGTAGATATTATAAAATGAATAATACTGTAACATCTGAAACAAAAGTACTTGATATGAAACATAAGCACCCCTACATTAAGATGAATATGCCACAGTTAGGTTCCCAAAAGGCTGGCTGATGTACTTTCGGCCCCAATTACTTGGCTAGTTTCATTATGGATATTCAGAAACTTGGGTATAGGGGAAATATAAATTGGTCAAACTACATAGATAACAAAAGTTCAGCACGGTTTATTGATCATTCTCAAAATGCTCTACGGTCATAAGTAATTTGGCAATTCTCTAATTCCTGTATTTCTCCTTTACATCAAATAAGTTGATTATCGACAATGTTGCTAATTCCTTCATGACCCACGCTAAAAATAGAAGCAGCTCATAAATAAACGCAATTAGCCAAAATTCAAACACGATAAAATCGCAACATAAATAAAAATCACAACATAAAATGGCTGCCTCCTCTAAACCCACAATACACATAAAATCCCACGTGAACAAGTAAAACCCATAATCCCACAACGCCCTTCCACCACCGTATCAACCACACAACAGCTGAAAAATTAAAACTTGGTAAGCCAAAATCTAAAAGAGGACAAAAATTACCCGCACTTGAAGCATAGATGGGCAAATCCACCAGATCGTAAAGGCCAACCTTTCTTCCATTCGTGCGTATTAGTCGTTCCACACAAAACATTCATGCAAATCCTGGACCCCATTATCCCAAATTCAACCCCTGCAAACCCTTAAATCAAACAAACAGAGCAATCAAACTCAAATCCCTAAACCCCTTTTGACTAAAACCCAGAAATTTAAACAGCAACCCCAGCATTCAGCACAATCATGCACAACATTTGAGATTGGGAAATCATTAAACAAAAAACAAACAAAAACAGCAAAAGAAATTAAAAATCCAACCTTTTTTTGTCCAAATCTGCAAAACCCAAATCTTGAAAACGACTAGTCATTCAAATATTGAGCAGAAACCACGAGCAGAATAGAGTGAGCTCCGGAAGAAGAAACGAGTCAAACTCAGTGGGTTTTTACCGTTTCACAGACGTAAGTTGTAACGGCGAGTTGGGGTGGGGGGGTTTTGGGGCTCTGTGGGTAAGACCAAGAAAGAAAGCGTGTATTTTGTATATGAAAGAGGGTAAGAGAGAGAAGGAGGAAGAGAGAGAGAAGGAGAGAAAGAGAGAGAGAGAGTGCATGCAAAGCAACAGATGCATAAAATGCATGCACGACACTTGAAGACACACCGCTTAACAAGTCGTCTCCTTTTTCACTCGATCATTGACACACAGTGTACACTGTACACTCCCCTTGTATTTTCAGTTTTCCTATTAGGACACTGATACACTCACCGACGGTTTCGTTCTTCTGCCTTCCTCCTCGTTGTGGGCTTGGCTTGGTGAGCTATGACTTGTCACTTTGTTGATTTTTTTTCTTTTTCTTTTTTCTTTTTTTTTCAAAGAGAAGAAAAAGGGCTGCGCTCTCACCACCCAAGGTTGCACCCACTTTGCATGATGCCTTGGTTTGTGTTGTGCCCATTTATGATCTTATCTGTGCAGTAATTAATTATGGGCTAATTTCATCCTTGTGTTTTGTTTGGGATTTCAATTTTTAGTCTTGTGTTTTCAAATTTGAAAAATGTGAAACACACACAACCAAAAAAGTGTAATTTATTTTGTTTTCACAAACGATGAGATATTTACCGCTCCTATTAGATATACCCAATTGGATTTATATGAGTTGAATTTGAAATCTCCCTCAATAAAATAGAGATAACAACGTAACATATTATACACGTATTTTTCACATAAAATATCATCCTTTTCCTTCTTTCTCTTTTTCTTTTTGTTTTTTTTATAAGAAAATTGTGTGAATAAGGAAGAAACCAGTTAGGCCTCTCTCCACGTGACAACGCATACCTTGGCTAGTTATGACTCCATGAGCCACCATATTGGATCTCTTTCAACAAGAATTGACTACCTCCCTCGTAAATCTTTATCACATGTTGCAACTTTGAATCATTGAAAGACTATTTGGTGAACAAAACGTATTAAATTCTCCATCAACGTATCATGTAAGGATTCAATCATAATTAGTGGCAGATTTAAGGGTTTAATTAATTCATCACACTAGTTATAAATTTATACAACTTGAATTGCAAGTACTTTTATACAAACAATATTTTGGGGGAACGAAAAACGTCATGTGCAATGGTAACTGCTCTTAACCATTTGAGGAGCAAACTCTTTGCTAAGCATGCATCAAAGCGATGCATCCAGTTGAAACACAGTTACCCCAATAAAATGCGAAGCATGCCTAATAATTTGGTTGATATGACTTCATGAATCAAAGTAAAAGTCAATATGATTGCCACACCATAACTGATATGACTTCAAGTGAATGAACATAAGAACACTATAGCTACAGAAAGTAATTCTCAATAAAATCAAAGTGAACAAATTTTAAGGACATGACATGGTGGAGGAGATGAGTTTGCTTTGTAGTTTGAATTGAAGTGGAGTTTCTGGGCCAACCTCAGTAGGCTCAGTTCAACTATGGCCCACAAAAATAGGCTCACCTCAAGTGTGCAGCCCAACCACATTTCACTCCAGTTCGGCCCAGTATGATTTGTTTGTTTTCTGGTTTTTTTTTTAAAAAAATCGGTGATTTGTTTTCTGGTTCGTTTGAATAAAACTAAATTATATGATTTGTTTGCCTTATAATATTTAACGCATTTATTTGAAAATTTTGAAAGAATCTTAGACAGCTATTACGTATCAATTATCTCATATATATATATATATGGATTCCAGAAAAGAAAAAAATTGTGAATAGTCAAATAACCGGATTCTGGGATTTATAGGCCTAAATTAGCGAGATTCTTACTACAGATATTACGTGTCAATTATATGTAATTTCTTGTACATAATCCTATATTTTGTATATCAAAATGTTTTATGAGGAAAAAGTATAATTATATATATACACAGTATCTTTCCGATAGTTGAACAAGATTTAGAATCCATATAATCTAATTAAGCTAATTTGATGCTTTCTAAGGCCTTCTCCAACCCATTTGCTCCTAACCAAAATTTTTCCCCTTCAAAATGTAACTATTTGGGTTTTGCCCATACTCAAACCGTTTTTTCCCCTAACCCTTTATACTCAAATTTTAAGTCCGCAACTTTATTAAATTGTTTAATAATAGTTTTAGTCTAATTTTTTTTTTCATGGATAACTATTCTTCATTTAATCTTTTTAAACAACTTCATAATTTAATATTTTGAACAATTTGACCTAAAAAAATTGAAATTCCATAAGTATAATTTTATTTGAGAAATAGGTGGGTATTTATAGAGTTTGGAGTTAGTTTTGGGGTTTGATATGATTTAGATCAATTTAAAATATTATTTTAATCATTGAATTTAAATTTCAGCTATTTGATCTTTTTTGTTTATGTTAAAATAGCTTGGGTTTAATATGACTCATTGATTTGGGTTATTGTTGGAATAAAAAAAAAGTAAAAAAAGAAGTGTTGCGACACCAGCACGCGATAACTTATGCAGTACCAGCAGCGCGACACATGGCGCCTCATTGATTCCTCCTTACACATGGACTACGTCAACCTTGAGTGGGCTCCACCAAAAAGTTTTCCAATCCAGGCAATAGTTGGATTAGTATTTGGCCCCAAGTTTAGATTTTCCCAAATTTTAACCCCTTATTTTTCTTGGGTTGGGAGAGGAATTGGACTAAAATTTGGGATATTTTTTGTTTGACCTCATGGTTGGAAATGGCCTAATGTATTTCTCAGAATTAGTCACATGTGATATTTGTCTAAACTGAACAAGACTAAAGTCATTGCTAATTATTATCGACTAGTGGGGTAGTTTCATGGATTATTTTGTGGGCACATAAGGAAAAAATTTGAGTGTAAATCATCACAATATACCACATAGTATGTTATTAATTCATGTATTATAATACAGGTGGATGATGAGGATTAGTATAGAACGTGAGGTTATTACTGTCACACCAAAAAAAATTATGAATTTACAATCAAAGACTTACACTATCAATCATGTATTAATTGTTGACAACTTAATGTGATCAGATGATTGAGTTCATCATATGCCACTTAACATCAATGACTCCTTTTATACTCAAATAGACTCTGCTGAAAATTGATTAAGGAGCATCAATATTGCAAATGGAAATGCTATTTATCTATTTATCTATCTATATATATTGTCTAAAATAAAATTAAAAAACCCAATGTGACTGTCACGTAATAATGAAAACTCACAAATTCGTGTTAATATATAAATAAATAATTAGTACGTGTGTATGATGAGATAGTAGGATTATATATGATGGATCTTTGAGTATCCTTGTAGATCCCATGATTATTTTAAGGATCGATATTAGATAAATATAATCCCATAATTTTACCTTTTAGTTACTAATATTAGACGAACCAAATCTTGATGAGCTGGAGAGGATTATCATAAATCTCTAAGGAGTGATCAGAAAAGATCAGAAAAAAAGAAAAAGAAAAGAAAGAATCAAATTAGAATCAAAAATCAAAAGACAAGAATGTTCCTGGTATCGTGTGTATATATATATATATATATATATCACAAATACCTAAAAAGATGACGAAATATCTGTGAACAAATTGATTTTTTCCTGATTTCCTTTCACTTGTTTGCTCATATATATTGTATAGGGTTTTCGGGTTTTGAGAGATTTGAGAATGGTTACTTCCTCTGCTTCTGCTTCTGCTTCTTCTACTTCAGCAGCACCAATATTAATGGTGTGGGATGGTGATGAAAAGCCACATGTTTTGGCTGTTGATGATAGTTTTGTGGACCGCAGAATCATTGAAAAGTTACTCACCAACTCTTCATGCAAAGGTGACATATACATATAATATGCATATATAAAATGTTCTTTCTTTTTCTTCTTTACCATTCGGTGTAGTGAGTGTGAGTTTAGTATATTATCATCTCTTTTAATAAGAAATGTTCTTTCTTTTTCTTCTTGACCTTTTCTCCTCCAAACTATTTTATTATATATGTTCTTTTTTCTTCTTTTTTTTTGGTCTGAATCACGAGGTGATTCTGGATGGGCCCTAATTATGGGTGGCACCTTTAAGCCTTAACCACAATCCAGACTAATCTCCGATCACACCGAGTCAGCCCGTAAAGAGTAAAGTGCTGGTCAAAGTGAAGGAATGTGCATAACTTTATATCGAGTTTATGATTAATTATAGGGGTCATAATAATAATAATAATAATAATATTTGGGTTCCTCTCTGGCAGTGACCACCGCAGAGAACGCACATGGAGCATTGGAGCTGTTGGGTCTGGCAGACGGCCAACAAAACTTCGGTAACACCGTAAGAAGCTTCTTCTATTGTGCTTCATTTTCACTCTAAAAAAAAAATATATATATATATATATATATATATATATAAATATAAAGAAATTCTTATTAATCGCATCTGCTTTTATTTTTCTGTTTCAGGTTTCAAAGGTAAACCTGATAATCACTGATTACAGTATGCCAGGAATGACAGGGTATGAGCTTCTAAAAAAGATTAAGGTAATTATGCAATTGTTTCAACACAAATATTGCATAACTGGCAGCTTATTTTATTATGAAATTCATGATTAATTGAATTAATTAATCTAACCCAGCCAATCTAATCTCCCTCTAAACAGGAATCACCAACCGGGAAGGAGATCCCAGTAGTTGTCGTATCATCTGAGCACATACCTACTCGAATTGAGAAGTAACCCACTTGCACAAGAAATCTCAATTTTTTTCCTTCTTTTGTTTTCGAATCCTGTTTGTTGATCCCTGAAATTTCTTCTTCCGATCGATAGGTGCCTCGAGGAAGGAGCGAAAGAGTTCTTGCTGAAGCCTCTCCGACAATCGGACGTTAATCAACTGAGATGTCATTTGATGAAGTTGGGAAACCCTAGTGATGAAGGGATGGTTTGCATGGGAAGATAATCTCCACTATAAAAGACAAGACAAGGATTTATACAAGAAAAGAATCACAAAGGCTAACAGCAATATACCTATCTAAACTTAAAACCTGTTTGATGCATCAGACACTTAGATACATTGTAACCTTGTTAATCTCTTCAAATCCTATTATAATCAGCTTATGATCATGTTTTTTTTTAATGTAATTGTTCCCGCGTACAAGAGATTTAAATTTAAGCATAGTTTGTGCTTCTGCTCCCTTTTGCTGCTGTAATCTACCAGACCAGTATGATCTGCAGGCAGTTGCAAAATCACCTCCTGAACCATATATGGAAGGGCAGGGTGCAAAATCCATGACACAACTGCAAACGATGTTAACGATGAAATCCCACATCTATTTAGACGTGAGTCGTGACGAACGTGTTATTTCTTCTTTATGCCAGTCTGGGCAGCTGCCTCCTTCAGCACCTTTTGCACACAAAGAAACTGAACATAGCTCTGAAGCATCATCACCCGACAAGATGAGTCAACAAAATCACCTTGTTGTTTAGTTTCTTTCTTTCTTTCCTGAGGCTCAGCATCTTCCATTTCTGCATTAACAAGTGAATGAAGCACATTAGTCTGTGGAAAAAAGGAAAATGAAGAACTAAAAAAACATTTGCCCAACCTTACCACTGCATAATGAGAAACAAAAAAGAAGTTAAAAAGACAACTAAGAAAAATAATTGCATACCTTTGTTCCGATGTTGACATGGAAGAGGAATTTCATAACCATGGTGATCTCTGGAAACAATGAAAACCTCTAAGTACAAATACAATAGGCTTAAAGACTTAGAGTTGGGGAACCAAACATAAAAACTTGAGGGAGGGAAAATACTTAAATGTTTGTGCAACATACTCGTTGCCATCTATTTTGCTTTCAAATTTGCCTGGAGTCTTCAGAGACGATGATGCCTTCTCTGCATGGTCAGGAAAATAGGTTGACTTCACACTTGCCTTTAGTTCTGGAGCTGCATCTTTTGCTTCCTTAAATTCACTGTTCTTGCTCTTCGATGTTAAAGCACCCATTTCATCATTGTTTTCTGTGAACAAACCGTTGTTCATAATACAATTTTCTTCCTCAAGCTTAAATTCTTCGCTGGGCTGGGATTCTGCTTTTCTTCCCTCAACTTTGCTGACACTTTCCTGCGCTGATAAATCAGGAGATGGTGTGTTTCCAGGAGAATAGGGAAACAACTCTGTTTTTGTTGATCCAACCCCTATCTTACAAGTTGTAGGAGAATCATGAAATTCAAATTTCTCAGTAATAAAACTGCCAGAAGGTGAACTTGCAACAGGTTCAGAGTGTTTAGAAGGAGATCTAGGATCAAGATGTAATTCTGGGACAGGACTTGCACTAAAAGGATCTCCAAACAAGAGCTTCGAGCCTGCAGATGGACAGTTTGTATCTGAATTTTGATGGAAAGAACTGCAAACTGAATTTATATTAACCGACATATATCGCTCCTCAGCAAACCAATTGCTGTTTGGGGTTAACTTTTCATCAAAAGGAGAGTTTGAGTAGTGGGATGGTTTTAACTTCGATGAATTTGACATCTTTGTACATTTTCCTGACCCGTGTGCAATATTCTCTGGGTGAACAACATGTCTGCTTTTGTCATGTGTCTTTCCTGTAGAAGTTACATTTGCATGATATTCTGGTCCAGCATATGCATTGTCATGTCTTCTCTTGCTCCGATTCCTAGTTGACTTTGACAGTGAATTATCAATTGCATTGACTCTCACTGACATCAATGGTTGGAAAAAGAGGAATTTTAGTTTATGAAAATAAGATAATTGCATTGGCAATAACAGAAACTTAATTCCAAATCATCATATTTTCAGTTGATATACCTGCACTTGATGAGCATGATTCTTCGCTGCCAAAAAAGACACAGTAGGTAATGACACATAAAACTATATGAGTCAGAGTAAGAGGTCAGAAAGAAATCAATGTGAAACAAAAGAAAGCCACTAACTACCTCAGCAAGCTCAAATTATCCCTTTCATCAGTCACAAAGCAAGACCAATCTGGTTGGTTGGTTACACCTCCAAAATCAAAACTCCTTCCTACTGTATGGTGTCTGTATACCGTCACAACAAAACACAACTCTTGAGTTTATATCTACATTACTAATAGAAATTTAGCTCATACAGTAGGCGTACCTTGCCCCATTGGAAATCATAAAATCATGATCATATTCTGATCTTTGGTGCTTGGAATATGAAGGTGCCTCTGATTAGATAGAAGTGATCAAAGCATCAGAAAAATAAAGCCATAGATGAAAGCAAACAATTCCATTCTGTATAAAACTAATATATCAAAAGTTTAGCTTGGCATTTCCATGTTAGCCCTATCATTACATGGTCTAAGAAATGGTCACAACTTACGAGTTAATAGAATTCTACAGACATAGTTCTAGTGTTTATAGAATTCTACAGGCATAGTTCAATTGAGAGTTTAAGACATAGAGCACCTAAGATGTCAAACTTGTCTGTTATATCTGTTGCAGACCTGTACAGATGCCACAACTCTATCAAGAAGATATAGTATAATTTCTCAAAACAAGAAAAAGAAAAAAGTAAAGATTAATTAAACACCTCAACGGTGAAAAGGGACCTTCAAAAGTAAAATCTGGCATCTTATACGTTCCGTGCATCAAATTATCAACAGAATCACAGTTCATTTCACTTGGCCTCTTCCATGATAAATCATGTTCCCATTCATTAAAAGAGGTTTTATCTTGGAAGCAACGCCTACCTGGTAGACATATAACAAGTCATATCATACCTATATTTGACCCCTATTAGAAGGAAATCACCATAAGTAAAGAAAATCAATCTAGTGAGCAATCATAATGTAAATAACAGAAAGCTGACAAATAACTGGTCTCAATTTCATTCCCTGGACTCATTAACTTGATACGGAATAAGAAAAAGCATATCTCAGGAAACACTACTCGTAAATTTCATATCATGTTGAATATGATATATACATATACTAATCCCATGACTGAAAGATCATATTTCCACAGTAAAATTTCACCAGAGTTTCACGCACTTGAACCTAGAGACCTAGAATAGATCGTTACATGCAGCATTGTTAGATAACTGTTAGGGAATGATTTGTCCCCAAAAAAAAGGATAACTGTTGGGGAATGGATCAATACTGCTTATCAAGCTAAAAGAAATGATGGTATGTTAGATATCACATTCTGTTGCACTGTGCCTTAAGAAGAAGTATTTACCATCCCATTTATCTTTGCTGCAATTTTCAGCATGGTCAAAGATTCTCCTGGATCCATAATAACTATCTAGTTTACCACTGTGACCATCATGTCTTGATAATTTCTGCTTTGAATAACCAAATGAATCCATTGAATTGGTAGAAAACTCTAAACCACTGCTACATAGGGGCATATTGATATCTTGCATCATTGCATCCTGCATTGCATCAAACTAATCAGCCTCTAAAGTCTCAAACATTGATAACATAAAAAATTTAAAGCCTTGCACCTTTACAGTTCACGACAGATTTAGTTTAGTTAATGGAAGAGAATCAACAAGTACTTGGACTGATAAAAACAAGAAGTTTTGTCTAGACTAATGTGTAATATAATTGAAGCAGCATAAACTATTGCATATACCAAAAGATTCTTCGCGAACAAGATGCTCAAGACCTCTGCTAGCATCTCTCATTGAAGTTTCCATGTTAGGGTGTTAATGAAATTTTCTCCATTACATTTTCTATAATGTGTCTTTCGTCGCAGCCTTTTGCCACTTGTACTTAGCAAGTTAGCCTACTATGTAGTCACTTTTGTGGCTCAAGTTAACAAAGAAAACCTTGTAAACTTCTTCCTCACAGCTAAAGATAATTACAGTAGAATCTTACCCTGCCTCCTACTGCAGGCAGTTCAAATTGCAGTGCAACATTTTATATAAAGCATTGTGTGTGGCTAACAATCCATAATCAAAGAGAACCAGGATTCTAAACTTAAGGAGCATTAGTACTTTGGATGCATTAAACCAGCGGCTGCTTTCTCATCAATCACATTTTAGGGAAGAAGCACAAATGCACTGATACCCACAGTAATCAAATGACGTATTACGACCCAATATATTCCTAGAAATACCAATTAATGCCCACATACATTAGAAGGGAGCATGGTAGCTCTTTCAACATGAAAGCTTTAGAAGGATCAAGTACAAAAAGATTCTAAACATGGGTGAATATATCAAGGAGAAAGATAATAATCCTTCTACCAATAAGTTATTCAGAGTTACAGTTCATGGACTAGTTGAAATACACTATATTAACTCAATTAATAATGCCTCTCACCATTTCAGTTTCAAAGTCATCCAGATTCTTATGGTTCTTGAATGATTTTGGTTGCCTTGCAGCATTCAACGGCGAGGAGAAATCATAGGTGAATGTTCTATAATCACACAAGTTTAAGCCATTGTGCAGATATAGTTAGCATCTTCTTGTTAAAACCTCACTTTGCACAGCATTGCTATAAGATTTCTGTTGGTATTTAAGTAAAAGGTTTTTATGCAATCGGTGAATGCCATTTCATGGGAAATAAGAATACTTGAGTTCTGCAAGAAGTGTTGTCCTAGGTTGTAACAAAATAGCTGACAGAACAGTAGTTAAGAATAATTACCTTGCCGGCTGTTTTGGTGAATGGACTGGTGTTTCCATTCCCACTTTACCCAAACCTGATAAGTAAGAATGACAGTGAAGAAATTTATAAAAGTCAGGAAAAAATTGGTCGATAATAATTATCATAGCCCAAAAGGTTCATTAAGAAGGGTTAGAAATTACATCATGACAATTGTTTGGCAAACAAATTTAAGAAACATCTATTTTTCGTTTCTTTTCTTAAATGGCAAGTAAAGAAGGAACTGTAAGCTATGACACTTTCTGAGATAGCAACAATCATGAGAAGGCATAACATGTAAGTTAACATAACAGATGCCTTGAAATTTGTCTCCAAGACAAGATATGCTAATTTCCTGACCAAATTAAGAGTTTCTTTATCCTCTAGCTTAGTAATTGTCCGGTTTACTTCCAGAGACTTGGACAGAACCTTATGAAGAAACTCTACCATTTAAATTGAGCTTTTACTCATGCATTATAAAGGAAACCACAAACTATGAGCAACTCAATGGTGGAACAGAATTACCTTCAACTGAAAATGCAACATGAGCTTCATGTACTGGGCTGCCTTCTATGTAGTCATTCAACCCATCATCGCCAAAAAAATCAACTACAGAAAACTCTGAAACATAAGAAGGAAAAAAGTTCATAAAGAAGAAACTTCAATACTCAGAGGTGTATATAATGAACTATAACAACAAGGAAGGAAGTGACTTTCTAGGCACCATAACCAAAGTTCTACCAACAACCAACTTATAAGCTCATTTAGCAAGCTAAATCCGTAAGGAAAGATACATGGAAAGTGTTCAAGGCTGTATTGGATGCTTTTCTACTTACGTTGGTCAGTACCTGTCCTGCAGTTATCTGGTTGAGAATTAATTTCTTTGAAAGACTTGTTATGATTAGGCATAACCCTGAAATGAAGAAAGTATATAAAATCTCCACAAGACAGGATGCACTATGGCAAAACAATCACTGATAGAAGCAACTATGCACCCATTTGTGAAGATTTATAATCAATTTACCAGCAAACAGACCGGAGTCTATATGTGCAAAGTGAATTGACTGTATAATAAAATCACTTTGACCTAAGTAGCTTGCATTCATTTAGTCCGTTACAAGTAAAAATATGGCTTTTCAATGAGTGTGAGGCTAGGATGATATTCCACAAAAAGTACAACCATGCACAGACACATCACTCACTTTTTTGGTGATGCAATCTCCTCTCGGAAGCCTGATTCAGCTCCTGTATCATCATATATCACTAATTCATTCAAACATATTTTATCGATTTTATAAGCACAGAAAGATAGGTTCAGGTAAAAAATCTGGGTGGAGGAAAGGGGGGATGGGGAAGAAAAAGGCCCCAAAATTAAATAAGATGAAATAGAAAGCATACTTGCTTGGTTAAATTCAACAGAGTTGAGAGGAGCAACCATCTTTGGAGGTATTGTTGGTGGATCCTTTGTGATATCATACTTCATTCTTGAAGCATTGACTTCTACATCTTCCCTTCCTTATATGGTAGGAAAAGTAGCAAAAAGAGGGAAAGATAACATAGTTTATTATTACAGAAGAGCCCCTTGGAAGAAAGATTATAGCCAAAAAAGGAAGATAAAAGAATCTGTCTCATACATTCAACAACCACTTAAATGACAAAAATTGTGATTTACATCATAGCTTAATTTCAATTTTCAACAACTGCCGACATAACAGGAGAGAACTAGTGACTATCTGAATTTTCTAGATATTAGAAACTTACGATTGGGGCAAGCAGATTTATGTTCTTGAGCAGTCGTTGACAAGTTCAGAAAACTGAGAATATCCAACGACCGATGTTCTTTGTGATGTTGCCCAGATATGTTCATTCCATCTGCATAGCTCTCTAACCCAGTTGTTTGCCCCTGATGCTGTTGTTGTCGTCTTCTTTGTTCAAAGTATTGCTTTTGCCTTGACAATTAAAATGGTCAGAACATGTTGATACTAATTATGCATCTGATGCTATAAATTTCTTTTTAACTACATGAGTTGAAAATTTGTACTGGTAAAGAAAATTCTTTTGTACCTCTGCTGTGTAGACTTCCTCGACTGAAGTTTCCCCAGTGCAACCAAGAGGTACCATGTATGAAACAAACGCTAACATGTCAGAACAAACTTTCAACATCGCGTTCTCTAAATCCAGGATAGCAATTCAATGTAGCAAAGCCTATAACATATGCACTTTACTAATATACCAGCCCTATAAACTATAACTCATACTTACAGTTGCTACTTTCCGCCTCGATCCTCCCATCCATTGCAACATTTTGAAGATGCAATCTGAAATTTCACTCCCAGGGATTAAAGTGGAACATTCAGCAATATCAGAAGCGCTATTTGGGGAAAATACACAAAGTCTCAAAATTCAAAAACAGCGAGGAAAACATAAACCCTGAAATTGAGCCCATCGACGATTAAAAAAAATGGACACAAAACACGCAGATAGAGAGAGAGGTTGAAATAGAGCTGCTCGCACACTCAAGCAACCATTTATTTTGCATTATTTGCAGCAAAAGGTTTACCTGTAGAACTCGGAATTGGTTGAAGAGAAAGCAAGCACCGACTCAGTAGTTTGGAGATTTTGCTTTTTGATTTTGAACGAAAATGAAGGTGATGACGATGGTGGTAGACTAGTGGGAATGATTGAAGCAAGCGGACTGTAAATTTGGCGTCGTTTTTCTTTCACCCGATTTTTCGTATGAAGTTCAAGAGAAATATTTTTGGCGCGTTATCAATGAAATGCACGATTGCCTTTTGTGAATCTCATATGGGCTGGGCTGGGCTTTTTTTTATTCACTTACATGAGCCCAACACTGTTTTCTTTTTTAATTAGTTAAAGCGTACGGCCGTGCGGCTATACTAGGGTTTTTTAATTTTTTATTAATTAATCGTATAGCCGAGCGGCTGGTCCCTTTTTTTTATAATAATCGTATAGCCGCGCGGCTATACTGTTGAAATATAATTAGTATACTGTATAGCCATGCGGCTATACTGTGGTTTTCTTTTTTTGATAAATAGTATAGCCGATCGCCGCCTAGGCGGTTCCGTTATTTTTATAATAAATAGTATAGCCCGGCGGCTATACTGTTTAAATATAATATATTAAAATAGTATAACCATGCGGCTATACTGTGGTCTTTTTTTTATTTTTTGATAAATAGTATAGCCACCCGGCTATACCGGGATCCTTTTTTATTTTTAATAAATAGTCTAGCCCGCTAGGTTATACTGTGATATTTTTTTTATTTTTTTAATAAATAGTATAGCCGTTCGGCTATAATCTTTAAATATATACTGGGTCCTTCCAAAATTACAGACGACCGGTCATCTAAATTTAGGACCACTAAATTAGGCCTGGAGGGTGCCTTTTTCGGTAAGTTATCTTTTCTCCAAGAAAACTAAACCTAGAAACCTTAAGCGGAAACTAAACCTAGATTTGAGTTATGATTCCTTAATTTGCTGCATATATGTACATGTTTATCTCTTAATAATGAATTTATTTAAGGGTTTCAGTGGTAATATATGTGGAGTCACAGGGGATTTGATCTAGTTTTGTTATTTTATTTGCTTCATTTTCAAACGTTAGAACATGTGAAAGTGCAGAAGGTGCAGTCATTCCGAAGATGGCCATGGAGGAGGAACACACAAATATGATAACTAGTCCCAATAGGATTTTCTCTTTTAAAAAAAATTAAATCACTAGAATTGTGAAACAAATAAAATGGTTAAATTAACAAGACAAGAAATTTGAAAACAGGTTGCATGGTTGATTAATTTAGTGATAGCTGCCTTCTCAATTTGTCCATGTAGAAATCATACAAAGAAATACACAAAGAAATCGAAAATGCATTGAAGCTAGGCCGCATTTCAGAAGAAGATCAAAGCATAATGGCGTTTCTCAGTGGGATACGTATTCATCACGACATGACCATGACACCATACTTCAGGTATGAAATTTTGATCTTTACTGTTCAGAAATGGAACAGACCAATTTCTTAATTTGAGCTATTGACACACATAAACATACATTAATCAACACAAGAAATGCATAATATATATCATTACCTTCCTTTTCTCATATAGTAATTGATGGGAGAGACCTAAATGCAACAGAAGTTGAAGGGTGTGTGTTGCAAAGTTTGGTGTATTTGGCTCAAGGAAAGACACCATAACTTCAAAGCTGGCGCTGTGAATGCATCGGTAAACTAGTAGAAAGAAACTTATTTTCATTCCGACCTATATTTTTGGTAATCTTTTCTTTGCTAGAGAGACCAAAAAGGTGCTTCCAAAACCATCAAGAATTGGTGTTTTTGTTGATACTGCAGAAATTTCCATCATTGAATGTAAATTTATTATGTGATCCTTTGTGCTGCAGATAAGGGTATCTTCAAACATTAGCAGTGGGCAGGTCCTTCTTAACCGAGACTATGATATGTATTTAAACAACTCTAGATGCACTTTGCTTCTTAATGGATGAAGAAGAAGGCAATACGAGAATGCCTACGTACAGTTCCCACAATTTCGAAAACGTTACTAAGAATGAATTATATAGCAGTTCATTACGAGTAATCAGCGAGGTGAGTAGGCGTTTGTGAAGTCATATGATGGTGGAGTTGAACTTGTTGTTGGCGAGTCCTTACTTAGTTAGGATTTTGGTTCCTTACTATGTTAGGATTTTAGTTACTTACCTATTTGTCTAGTCCAATTATAATTAAGATTTATTTCATATTGTAATTTAGATTTATTTTCTATTGTAATTTAGATTTATTTCCCATTTTATTTAGAGTTAACACATCTTTGTACTTGTATAAATACCTCCATATTGGAGAATAATAATAATATGAGCGTATCTTAGCATAACTGAATATTTACCCTACTTTGTTTGACATGGTATTAGAGCCAGGTTCTCTTGTGACCTGTGTTTGCGTTCTCCTTGCAATTTAAGTGCTCTCCTCCCCTCCTCTTCAAGGGGGGGAGGGGGAGTGAAAAGGATATGTTTATTGACGTATCCCCATTAGCTTGACATATTCCCATGAAGATGTTGCTTATTTCTTAACTCCGACGACCTCTTCTCTTCAGGGGGAGAGGAGGAGTGAAGAGAAGTTGTCTGTGTGAATTAGCTAAAGTTGATATGGAAGAACTGTTGTTGTTGCCGTTGCCGTTGCCTCTACTATTGTCGTTGATGTTACCGTTGCCGCTATTGTTGCCGTTCATGTTGCTGTTGTTATGGTCATTGCCGATGATGTGCCATGGTCATTGTCGATGATGTGCCATGGTCATTGCTGATGATGTTACTGTGATTTGATCTGTCTCTACCCTAACCCTAGACACTACCTATTTCCGCTGCATTATACATTTAGCCTATAATCCTAGTTCGCCGCCGCCGCCTACCTTGCTACCGTCGTCGCTGCCTACCTTGCTATTGTTGCTGCTGCTTTATCTACTGCCGTGCTCATAGGGCTTCTGTGTTCTGCCTTACCTACTGCCATGCTCACAGGGCTTCTGTGTTCTGCCTTATCTACTACCGTGCTCACAGGGTTTCTGTGTTTTGCTATATGCCTTATCTTCTGCCGTGCTCACAGGGCTTCTGTATTCTGCCTTATCTATTGTCGTGCTCACAGGGCTTCTGTGTTCTGCCTTATCTGCTGCCGTGCTCACAGGGTTTCTGTGTTCTGCTATGTGCCCTATTTTTTAGGGTTTGCTCTTGTGTTTTCACTGCGAACTTTGCTTTAGTTTGTCACTTGTTTCACTCGTGGTTGACGAAAAGACCTTCTCTACAATTGGTGCTTCTCAAGTATAGTGTTCTGTGACTCGCTTGTCAAGTTGGGCATGCGAAATATCTTTGCCCAACTTGAGGGAGAGTGTTGGCGAGTCCTTACTTAGTTAGGATTTTGGTTCCCTACTATGTTAGGATTTTAGTTACTTACCTATTTGTCTAGTCCAATTATAATTAAGATTTATTTCATATTGTAATTTAGATTTATTTTCTATTGTAATTTAGATTTATTTCCTATTTTATTTAGGGTTAACACATCTTTGTACTTGTATAAATACCTCCATATTAGAGAATAATAATAATATGAGCGTATCTTAGCATAACTGAATATTTACCCTACTTTGTTTGACACTTATTTAAGTGAAGTTTCATGCTGTTTAAAAATTTATGGCTGACATGTTGGGAGCTCTCTGTTTGTGGGAATTGAAGGTGGAATGGTTTGGTTTGGATGGTTATGGGGGCCCTCTATATATTGGAAGTGGCTGCTTTCACAGAGGAGATACTCTTTGTGGGAGGAAGTTCATAAAGGGATGTAAGAATGAAATGAAGTGGGAGATTAGTAGAAAAAGAGAAGAAAGTGGTATTCATGAATTAGAAGAAAATTGAAAAGTCTTGCAAGCTGTGCAATTGAAGAGAATACTGAATGGGGAAAATAGGTCTTTATTTCTCTCTCTATCCACACGCACACAAGTGTACAATAGTTTGAGCTTGATGAATCTCTATAATGTGCAGATGGGTTTGAAATATGGCTGTCCGGTTGAAGATGTGATTACCGGGCTATCAATCCAGTGCCGTGGATGGAGATCAGTGTATTGCAATCCCACAAGGCAAGCTTTCTTAGGAATAGCTCCAACCACACTGTCTCAGACACTTGTGCAGGTTTTGCTTTCTAAATACAGCCCTGCATGGTATGCACATGGAAAGATTGGTTTAGGTCTTCAACTTGGATACTGTTGCTACTGCTTCTGGGCTTCAAATTCCTTGGCAACCTTATTTTACTCAATTATCCATTCACTTTACCTCCTTAGAGGTGTTTCGTTATTTCCGCAGGTATGGTTCCTCTGTCATTCTTATTAATTCGTGTGTCACAACCTTACATAATATTTGCTCTTTTCTCAATGTCTGCAATAATAAGTTTTGTTTTGTCGATGTAGGTTTCAAGCCCTTGGCTCATACCATCTGCATATGTGATATTTGCCAAGTACACTTGGAGCTGTGTGGAGTTTCTGTGGTCTGGTGGTACAATCTTAGGTTGGTGGAATGACCAACGTATATGGCTTTACAAGAGAACAAGTTCCTACCTGTTTGCCTTCATTGATACCATTTTAAACTCCCTCGGATATTCTGACTCAGCATTTTTAATAACAGCCAAGGTTTCTCATGAAGATGTTTCACATAATTACGAGAAAGAGGTTATGGAATTTGGAGCCTTGTCTCCAATGTTTACCATACTGGCAACACTTGCATTGATCAATTTGTTCTGCTTTCTTGGTGTTGTAAAGGAAGCAATCATGGGAGAGGGCATGACAAAAGTTTATGAGACAATGCCTTTGCAAATTCTTCTGTGTGGGGTTTTGATTCTCATCAACCTACCATTGTACCAAGCCCTTTACCTAAGGAAGAACAAGGGAAAGATGCCGAGCTCCATAGCCTTTAAATCAATGGCATTTTCTGTATTTGCATGTATATGTTTTAGATATTTGTATTGAAAAAGGTTTCTTTATTGACCATGATATAAAATGTCATTGCCATAAAATAGAATCATTCTTCAGGGTGCATTGCTACTAACTTGGGTTCCCAAATGAGATATAGTCTCTACCTTTTGTCTGCTTCGAATTCCTTTTTCAAATTTGTATTATGTCTTTGTTCTTCCTCTTTGCTTGCTCCATGGCATTCCCTCGTTAAGCAAATTTCCTGCAGTATGGCACCCTAATGTTTCATCCCACAATTACCAATCATTAAGAAGGAAGAAGATACATCATTATTAGGCTAACATTCAATCATTAAGAAGGTAATTCATTACTGTTCATGGGTCAAGCCTTGTTCCTTGCATTTGCTTATGCTTTTGTTACCAAGTATGCTTTCAGCACAATTGAATCCTTGAGATGACGGACTGCATTCAAATGATGGCGGAACGTATAAGGAATGAAGCAATTAGGGCTATCTCAAACAGATTTTTCATCACTAATAAGGTGGTCACCAAGGACATGTCAAAGGGGCATGAGCTAGAGGTTATGCAGATTGTGTTGCTAATTGCCTGCTGCTGATGCTTCACTTCTTGTGTCTTGGGTTCCTGCTGTGTGTCCCTTGTACTTGTTTTGTCTTCCTTGCCCAATCAGGTTTATTTTAGGTTGGTTTGATTAGGTCTCTGTTGCTATTTTGCTGCTAGAACTTTCTTTCTTTTTTTGTCTGAGCTGCTAGAACTATCTGGTTGTTCTTCTTCCTGTGTTTCTTCCTTTGCATACTTTGTTTTTAAGTTGCTTCCTGATATATTTAAATATTATAGCCGCGCGGCTATACTGTTTAAAATAATAAATTTAAATAGTCTAGCCGCGCGGCGATACATTTTAAAATAATAAATTTAAATAGTATAGCCGAGCTGCTATACTGATAAAAATAATGAATTTAAATATTCTAGCCGCACGGCTATATGTTTTAAAATAACAAAATTAAATAGTATAGCCGACCGGCTATACGTTTTAAAATAACAAATTTAATTAGTATAGCCGCCCGGCTATACGTGTTAAAATAATAAGTTTAAATAATATATTAGGAAGGCAGCGGCTATACTTGTTAAAATAATAAGTTTAAATAATATATGAGGAAGGCTTTGAATTTGAATTTGAGGCCGAGCATACCCAATGCATCCAGATTTGAATCATTTGAGTTCTGATCTCTGTCGAGGAGTCCTTGAAGTTTCAAAATCAATTGAAATGAATATATTTATAATATCTCTTCCGTGACAATACGTGTACTCTATTTATTTTCATTTTGTCCTGCTTCATTTATTACAAGATTGAAAAACCAAAAGTAGTCCAAATACGATTTGTCCATTTGGAAGCATGCAAATCCAATTTGACTATCTTTTCTTCACAAATTCCATTCACATTGGATGGAGTTGCTGACTTTGCTCTACATCTTTCTTTTCTTATTTGGGTGATGAACAAAACAAATTGACATCCACAAGCAGCTATAAATATTTCTGCAATTTGATTTGAAGCATTTTTATTAAGATGGAGGACAAAGTGGTGCTTTTGGATTATTGGCCAAGCTCTTATGGGATGAGAGTGAGGATTGTTGTGCGGAAGCGTCAACCAAGTGCGAGTGAAAAATAAACACAACTAGCAGGAGATAAAATGAACACAAACAACACCAACAAGAACACCAAGATTTATACTGGTTCGGCAATGCCTACATCCAGTTTGGAGACGACGGAGTATTCCACTATAATCAATGAGAACATACAACAGTGTTTATCACTCAATTTCCCAAAGACCCAAATAACCCAAGCTCACACATTTACAATAGGAAGAGAAACTGAAAATACAAAGCAAAGACAACTTGAGAGAATTTTCTTCTCTCTGCCGAATGGCTTCTTGCTGTTTCTCTCCCTCTACTCTTCACTCTTCAGCTGCTGCCATACTTCTCAATTTATAGAGAAGCCAACGGGTGAAGGCCAGCTAGTCAAATTATGAGGCCAACTATGAAGTCAGAAAGCCAGCCAAGTTTGCATGGCTTTTGTCTCCCACGTGCTCCCATCTTCTGCCAAAGCTTCAATATTCCTCTGCAAAGGCGCTGCAAAGTTGTTATTCACCTGCAAAGCTGCTGCCCCCACATGACAGCATCCTCCCACATGATAGCACAAAGTTCTTTCGGTGCAAGTTGAGCCATAATCAACAAGGATCGCTTTGGCTGAGAAAGGGATCAAATATGAGGCCAGGGAGGAGAACTTGGCAGACAAAAGCCCTCTGCTTCTAGAGATGAACCCAGTTCACAAGATGATCCCTGTTTTGATTCACAATGGAAAACCCATTTCTGAATCCCTCATCCTTCTCCAGTACATTGATGAGGTTTGGCATCACACATCTCCCTTGCTCCCCTCTGACCCTTATCAAAGATCCCAAGCAAGGTTTTCGGCTGACTATATTGACAAAAAGGTTAGTCAAATATATCACATTAATTGTCGTCAATATTAATGTTTTTAAGCAATGATAGCGTCAGTCGCATGTGAGCGCATAACGCATTTTCAATCATTAATGAGTGTGTGACTCATTGTAAATTGCGTCACGTGCAACTGACGCTAGCATTTTCCATGATATTTTCCGTAATCAGATTTTCATGATTACACTTCCAATAAAAATCTACCATGTAATTGTGCATGAATGAGTACATATTTCTAATGCAATATTGTGGATGGGGTGTGCAAAATGCAGATATACAGCCTGGGCAAGAGAGTGTGGAAGGAAAAGGGGGAAAAGCAAGAGGCAACAAAGAAGGAATTCCTAGAAGGTTTGAGAACCATAGAAGGTGAGCTTGGAGACAAGCCTTATTTTGGTGGAGAAGACTTTGGGTTTGTGGATGTGGTGCTTGTTCCCCTCACCAGCTGGTTTTATTCCTTTGAGATCTGTGGGAATTTCAGCATAGAGGCTGAATGTCCCAAGCTTGTTGCTTGGGCCAGAAGGTGCATGGAGAGGGACAGTGTGTCCAAGTCACTTCCTCACCCTCAGAAAATCTATGCTTTTGTCTTGGAACTCAAGCAGAAATATGGGTTGTGAGTTACAGATACCAATCAATCAGAATAAGAATTTGTCTCACACAGAAGATTGGGTTTGTTTGTTCAAAGATATACAGTCTCTATGCCTCATAATGTTGTTTTTATAATTCAATTCAAGCATGTTTTCTATCAACATAGAAATTGTGAATATTGAGGGAAAAGAAATATAAAAAAACCAGCCCAAAAAGTTCAAGTATTGGGCCCTGAGGGCCAACGAACATCAAATGTAACCCGAGGGCAGTCTCGTTAATTCACAGGAAACACCCGTGGTGTTTTCGTAATTTTGGGACCCTCAAGTGCGCAGAAACCCTAACTGACTGGCCTCTCCAAATCACCTATAAATACCGGATGAAGAGCGACCCATTCATTGCGGCTGAGCCGAGCGTAGTTCTTTGATTTTGTGATTCTTTTATTTTCTGTGTTCAATATCTGATTGAATCTCTGGAGAGCCTCGTTCTGATTTTGATTTTGATTTTTTTTATAATTTTCGTGGTGTTTGGTGTTTGGTGTTTGATTTACTGTTTAAATATTGGATCCGTGCACAATAAGCCGATGCTCTGGATGAAAAAGTAATGAAGGAAGCATGGTGATGTGCACGGAAATTGAACAACTCTGGGTCCGCATGTCTGCTCTCTCTGATTCTCTCTGATTTGAGGGCCTGGTTACGACCCACATGATCTCTTCTTTTTCTCAATCTCTTATTTCAATCTGTTTTTTTGTTGTTTTGAATCTCGAAATTTTTGGTTTTTATAATTTCCTTGGGTTAAAATCGTCAATATCTGTCAAATAATATGGTTTGAAGAATGCCAGAAAACCACGCTGCAAATGATTGTTGGAACAAAAATATGATGACATGTTTGAATATTCCAGTGGTGGTTGATCAACCATATGAATGGACCCAATTCTTCTAAATGATTTAAAGAATTGCCAGGAACACAGACCTTATAGGAATCCTGCAGTTTCCACTTGCAGTGTAAAACGTCAGTTCATAGAACATGAAAGAGAAACAACAAAATGTGTTCAATGCATGGTATAAAATATCGATCGATGAGGATATTATCGTTTTTTTGAGTCATGAATATTTTGAAACGTATTTATATACATATTGTATAAATATTGATAATATTAGAAAATATCGATGTTGATAATTTCGTTTACACTTTAAGTAATATTTTGTCAAAATGTCGCTATAATATATAAAATATCGATGTAATGGGAAAAAGAAAAAAAAAACACAAACCACACACGCAAAGGGATTCAAACCCTTGCCATTTCACTCATCGCCTTAACCACTATGTTGCTTATGTTTTTGTGATAATATGCTAAAATATGTATATTTATATTGTTTTGTTTTGAACTGTTTTTGTTAGAATCAAATTTTCACGTGAGAATGTGAGTCTTTGACATTTCCTTTTGGGATGAAATCGAGCGTCTCATGGAAAGAATTCGAGACCTAATCTTCAAATGATTTTGCTTATGGACAACGTCAACCAATCTCGGATCCATATGGGTGGCATATTAACAATTACATGCAAAATTATTTTGAGGATTTATCATTTGATGACTACTCTTCATAATACACATAGAGATGATGAAGATGGTGAAAATTTTAAACCTCATAGGAATTCTATGTGGTACTAAGTCACTCATATATCTTACCATGCAATGTATTAAGTGTAATGACAGAACCCGTCCCAGATTCCTCATAATTTGGGACGAATCCAGTAATGTTTCCAACATCTTACCGATGATGGGCCCACTTACTAAAGAACGAGACTCTCTGCCGAAATTTCGGCAGAGTCTCCCCTGAAAATTTGATGTTTCCCAAATTCGTCAACTTGTTAAAAAAACATATTTAAATATCCCAACATGCAGCATGCATCAGAAACACTGAAATAGTTTACAACATAGGCATCCGACCTAATAATCAAACCCTAGCAAGGGCGATAACAGAGCAATCTAAGAGTTTCAGTTTACAAACGAAAATGAAGTTTAACATAAATGAACGAATAAAAGTTCGTCATACGCGCTCGCATAAGTCACGATCCACATGTCACGCCAAGCAAATATGTAACATGTCACGCTAAGAGTTGTAGCAAGCCTATAAAATGCATCAACTCTATAAACCCATGCTAATTATCCCGTCAAGTGCCATTTTGGCCCAGCAAAGCTCGAGCACAAGCACGCCAAAGAAACATGCCACGCCAAGCTAAAAACTCTTTATTTTACACCTAGCCACGCTACAAGCTTAAGTGGGCCCAAGCCATGCAAATGCCCGAGGCTTGCTGAGTGGATTGTGGTATGGACGGTTACGAGCATTCACGAGGCCCATTGATGGGCCAAGAAGTGAAAGTTTTGGGATGCTTAGGAGCCCCAAAACTCGAGCCCATTTCACGAGCCCAAATATGTGGGTAAACATGAAAAAGAGAAAAAGGTAGCCCATTACCTTAGAAAATTGGCCCATCACTTTAATAACAATAGTCCATCACTTTAGAAAGTTGGCTAATTCCCTTAGTAAACTAAACCATCACCTTAGGAAGGCCCAAATGACCAACAAAATATCTGAAAGTCTCCAGCACATGGCTGGAGACAAAACCACGACAAAAGCCAAGGGTTACTCATGTATGTAGGCTGCTAAGAGTCTCCAGTACATGGCCAAGAAACAAACCCAAGGTAGACCACCCGAAAAATCAAAGGATATTAGCGTGCGTAGTTTGCTAAGAGAGAAGCACCCTTCAAACCAACGTCATTACCCATTTCTTTCTCATATCAGCTCTTGCCATGAATAGGGGAGGAAAGAAGGAGAGATGATAACCAAAGATAGGAGATTGCTACTGGAACAGCTGTAGGAAGGCTCTAGAGCCTCCAAAAATCTTGTCTTTTTGTGTTTGGACTAAGGAGGATTTCACAAAATATGATGAATCAAAGGAAGAGAAGAGAAATGAAAGGGAAGACTTGGCAAATTGGGGAGGAACCATCTAGGGTTCCTTAGTAAGGAGGAGCTTCCAACGGCTATAAAAGGGGGGTTTCTCCTACCCATTATCAAAAAACCACATCCAGAGAGAGCAATCATTACTTATCATCCCTGGAACTCTCCAATTTCAAGCCCTATTACTCAATCTCCTCCCATTTTCTCTTTTGGCAAGCTATTCTAGAGCCTGACGAAGCTTTTGTGAAGCTATCGAAAAGTTGCTCAAAGCACCCACTCTTCCACCCTAATTTCTCTCTCTCTCTCATGCTAAACTCATGAATGCTTAGCTTCCATGCAACAAGCTTCTCAAGCCAAGCCAAGAATTTATCTGTAAGAAACTGTTGGTTTCCGTTGGTTAAAAAGACCAAGGTGTTTCCTAAGCCTCAGCTACCCTTTCAAAGCACTCTTGGGGTCTGATTCTTGAATTCAGACCTAGGGGCAATTTCACACATTTGACTCTTTACATCAGCCTAGGCCCATCAATAGCTGCCGGAACGAAAAAGCCCCCACACCGAGCATACCCAATGCATCCACATTTGAATCATTTGAGTTCTGATCTCTGTCGAGGAGTCCTTGAAATTTCAAAATCAATTGAAATAAATATATTTATAATATCTCTTGCGTGACAATACGTGCAAGACTGGTACTCTATTTATTTTTATTCTGTCCTGCTTCATTTCTTACAAGATTGAAAAACCAAAAGTAGTCCAAATACGATTTGTCCATTTGGAAGCATGCAAATCCAATTTGACTATCTTTTCTTCACAAATTCCATTCACATTGGACGAAGTTGCTCACTTTGCTCTTTGTTCATCCGTTTTAATTTGTCTTATGTGATGGTAGGGTAAAGTTCCCCATTGGCTTGAAAACCATTGGTGGTCAACAAGTCAACTTTCTTTGAGGCCCAAACACTTTCTTTTCTTATTTATGTGATGAAGTAGAAAACAAATTGACACTTGAGCCATGACGTCATTAATCTTAACATCCACAAGCAGCTATAAATATTTCTGCAATTTGATTTGAAGCATTGTTATTAAGATGGAGGACAAGTGGTGCTTTTGGATTATTGGCCAAGCTCTTATGGGATGAGAGTGATGATCGCTTTGGTTGAGAAAGGGATCCTGATATTTCCATCGAAATTTTCATGTTTTTAAACTGCCAATATTTCCAATACTATCAATATTTTAGACCTCGGTTCAATGTTAATAGATGGAAAAAAATACAATAAAAACTTGCGGCAGAACCCGACAAGTTGGGCAAGTGGGATCATTCTAGTCTTTGTTTCTTCCCTCCAGGTTTTGTTTTGTTTTGTTTTTTAAAGTAGGAAAAGAATTGTCCATTGAAGACTTTTTTAATACTAAACAAAAAGGTGGGAACGATTTAAAATCAACAACATGACTTCTAATTCTAGCACTTGAAAATGGATCATCTGAATTGATTGAAATCACTTTTGTGACCCAGACTTTTGTTCATCTGGGGCGTAAAAAATAATTTCATAACTAACTTCTACAAAGTCTAGGTTTTCATAGCAATACGATATATATCATAACAAATAATTTATTTCAATAATTTTTTAATATATGATTTTGGGCCAAAATCTAAGGCTTTATATATTGGACCACATCTTATTAAAGCTTGGGCCTTGATATTTTCAATATAGGAGAGGTTTTGGGCTAAAATCTTGAAAGCTTTACTTATTTGGGAGTTTCACTAAAACACCCAAAATGGGGGCTGAAATTATAAAAAAACCCAACACCCAAAACACTTTATAAACACACCCAAAACTCATCATTACACACACTCAAAACCCATTTATAAACACACCCAAAAAATATACAATTGTTTATTTTGGGGGTTAATTTTGGGTGTGTTTCTATGTTTAAATAGTATGTGGGTTTTTTTATAAATACATGTCTAGGATTGGGTTTATTTATAATAATCTATACTTATTTAGGGTGTTGAGTGGGGATTTTGCATGCAAAATATTAGTCAAGTGTCTTGTTTTTATTGGCAAAGTGCTTGGCTAGATGGGTGAAGAAAACACTTAAGTGTGGGCAGCTATCCACAGTAGGCATGTGCTGGGTCCGCCAGTGATTATAAGCTTTTCTATCATAAAAATGACAAACTTTTCTATTAAAAAATCTACAAGTGATTCTTGAAAAACTTTAAAAGTGTTTTTGAAAAAAGTTAAAAAGATGCGGGTAAAAATGGAGATATCAAATTACTAAACTTGTTGAAAAGAGGAAAGGTATATGGCTGTTATGCTTATGCTCATCAGAGGTTGAATCGATTTAGGCAAAAAATTAGGAGGTAGTTGGGGTTGACGAATGTTTAGGTGATGGGCACGATGTGTGCCAATACGAAATTCAAGCTAGAGTAGACTGATTGTACATGGGTAATGAAACTGAAGATGATGATTGATCACCAATGTCATTCCCACTAATTTTGAGGGGTTGGTGGAGGGAGCAAAGGTGCATATATATATATATATATATCATGGCTGAGGCTGATCACCAATGTCAACTTAAAATATAAGTCAGCTCTGTGTGACATATATGGAATGTGCCAAGTTGGATTTGAAATAAGGCAACTATGAACTCAATATTTGTTAGGTGAGGCGTCAATTTAGTTGAGTTATTCTCCATGAACCATGGTGAGTGGTGTCTGCTCAATGCAGGTTTGGTTGAGCTAATAAATTGTGGCATAG